AAGAAGAAGACGAAACCCAAAATGACCGTCCGGCGTTTTGTGAAGTGCCCATATGACGCGGTTCAGGTGCCGCCTCGAGGGCCGCAATCCCGACCGAGAGTCATCTTTCGACACCCTGAGGGTCGCGTGAAGATGACTTCGGAAGGGCTCATTTCGCCGTCTTGCGACGGAGGTAGTAGAGGTGCGAAGGTACAAAAGAAAACACAATCAGAGAGACGCAAAGACACGACCCGATTACCGATACGATTATTACTATTATTTTACGCGGCCGAAGTTCTTGCAAAACCCGTCAAAACTGCCCCGCACCAAACGTAAGGCGCGCGTAAGTCTGTGCTCCTCGTGCGCGAACCAAGAGAGGGTCGCTGTCAGGGACCCGAGAGATCGTCCCTGAAAAGAGAGTCTTATTAAACAAGACCTGAAAAACACACTTGCGGTTGATTTAGCACAAGAGTCCTTGGAAAACACCCTTTTCATGAACCAGCACTTGTGCGGATAAAATAATACCGTCGCAAAGGTGTCCGCCCGCAGTAACGAGCCTTGCGGGTACTGAGCTCCAGCGGCTTCATTTGCCTATTCCACCCAGAATCCACCCCCAGGAACTAATTTCCGGTCTGAACGCGATCTGTACTTAGTTCATGAGAACTAAAGAGTTTTCAGGAACCTTTGTGGGAAAAGTACTTGGTGTGAACGCGCCTTATAATTCACTTGATAATATATTGCATTTTGGTAACACTTTATATTAAGGTACACATATTCACCATCAACTAGTTGTTAATTAACATTAATATTAGCAGTATTGGCCCTTTTATTAATCATTATAAAACAAGTATTAATGCTTTATTCTATATGACCATATTCTACAAGTACTAGGCCATTAGTTAAGAGATTTCCTCAATAACCCTCTAATTAGTGCTTATTTATTGTAAGTAAGGAAGTTGTTAAGTTTTGGTCTTAATATGCTCTGCTCAATATGGGCCCAATAAGTCAGCAGTACCACAAGAATAGTAATTCTCCCATAATAACACCTAACAAATATGATCTATTCTTATGTAACAAGACATGAAACTAAAAGTGTTAATGGTGTCAAAATAAAAAAAAACGTGGTATTTCTAACTCAGAATTCCCTATTTTAAAGTGAAGTCTCTAATATTTTAATTAACATGGTGAATAAATGTACCTTAATATAAAGTGTTACCTGCATTTTGAGATATTCAAGCAGTTTGAATTGAAAAATCAGTGTTACATGATCTCTAGCTGCCCTGATAGTGTATGGAAGTCCATATATGGCAGCAGGATAATTCTCCCTTGAAGTGTCTGCGGTGATCTCTCTACACAAGTATTTGTTTGAGTTAGGACAAAGCCTCTTTGACTGGATGTGGCTATAGGGAGGCAACACAATTCTGGCTTACTCAGATGTGTTAAAAGCACAGAGGGGTTATTGCTTTTGGCCAAGTTTTGACCTCACCAACTCGCGTGGACTCAGCCTGCATCCTAAAATAACTAATGCTCCATGTGTTGTGCTGAAGTCTGTCAGACATACCTTGTTTACCGCGGTGAACCTGAGCTCTGCCTGCTGTTGGAGATTACACGGCTGGATAGGGGCCACTTACATGCCTCGATATTATCTCCTACATTAATCTGAAGCTTTTCAGAATGAAACATGGTAGGTTTTTTGAGTTTTTCCTTATCAGGTACATTATCTGCAAAAAGAGATAATCTTTATAAACTGTGAGTTTTGGAGCTTGATTTTGCTGATTTTTCTTTGAGGTATGTAGATGTATTCTGTATGGTCTTAATATTCAATACGGTTCCTAATCTGCATCTTGACAAAGCCCAGTGGATTATAGAGGTCTCATACATTGCAGATGAGATGGATGTGGCGCTTCTCTTCAAATCCACACTTATGAATGACTCTTCAAATGTATAAAAGCCATTCCTCTGTTCAGAATGGTAAACTAGGTCAACATGACTCCTATTTTCTCCCTGAATGTGACATTTAGAAAGGCTTTGCTGCTTGTCGCTTGTTTTTACAGTAAGACTTTTGGATTTTTTACGGCCCTTTCTAACCTTGTCCTAATTCAGTGATAAACAGGGACCTCTTTAATACCCCTTTGGCTTGGCTTTGGCTGATTTGGGTGATTGGGTACATTGTGCTGTCTTGGACTGTAGAAGCTGACAGAAATACTTCCTGCCAGTGAGGTGCAGCTACTATCTAATCACTTTTATATTACCATGTCACACCATAAAAACATAAAACCATTAAGCCAACATAATGACCTGAACCCAATTCCCGTTGGCCTAACCCTTGTTTAAGGTCACAAAAACCCATAGTAGGATAGACAGTTATTATCAGTACCATTATGAATATATGACATGTGTTGTTGCATTAGGCTGCACAGTAAAGCTGGATTAGTACACAAGGGTTTAACAGCTGTCCGCGGTAGATATTCTACCTGGTGATTGCACAACCTCAACACTACATGATCAGGCCGTGTCACACTTCAATGAAATTGCTAAAACAGTGGCCCATTATTTTTCTCACAGGAAGATTTGTGTCGTCTTTTCACCGAGACGGGGCTATTAAACTGCAGTGGTTGCCATTTTTCACACATTATGTTAAAGAGATAAACACTGTAAGCAAAAGGTTGTTGTGAAGATGGCTATGCTAGTTGTAAGATTACTTGGTGACTTCCTACGTTTTATTATTTACTGACAACAATCTTTATTGGATAAATGTTGGACAAACCTTCATATTGTATCTTCATATGTTTTAGACTCTGCAGTCTATCATAACTGTCCTTTTTAGAAACGTTGAAATGTTCACTTTAAAAAAAACAAAATGACAATGAGTGTGTTCATTGAACTGCATACATGTTCAGAAACACCTCTGTATGATGCAGTAGGTTTGGTTTCCCCTTTATAACCTGGCAACTTCGTGTCATTCTAGTAGAAAATCGAATATTGAATTAGTGCTAACCCAGACATGATTGAGTGAATTAGATTTTAAAATTAGCGCCAAGCTCAATAGTGCAGGTCGGCTTTGACCACAAAGTGTTCAGTATTGATAAGGGATGCTGATTTAGATTTTCTTTCTGACAGATAGCCGATGTTTACCAATCATTAAGCGTTAACTGACAAGATAAGCGCCTTGCGTGCGGGGGAGCTGTGGTGAGCATAACAAGCTGCTCAGCTGCAACAACAACCCATGCCCAAAACAGGTTAAATCCTTCTTTTATCAGCAGCCTTATTGTAGGCTAACTGAACTGATTTATAGATCGACATTTTTGTACTCGGTAATATGATTAATTATTTACATCTTTGGCATTGAACATTGTATTTCGATTCGATAGGAACTGAGAACAAAGTCAATTTACTGGCAAACAGAAACAATCGGTACCCCTTCAGTCTTTCACTTGGATGTCCAAGGTGGTTAAGACATTACACAGCATTCATGGTAAAAAAGCATCCCAGCATTAACCGCTTCATCATTTGTAAACAAACATCCGCTGCCTGACCTTGCCTGACACAGCAGGACTCTTTTCCGCAAATAATCCGGTTGGTGCTGCTCAAATTAAATGTGCACAGTCAGTCACTCCATTTCCAAGTCACAGAGAGAGAGAGAGAGAGAGAGAGAGAGAGGGCATATCTCAAATTACCTGTCAAACTGCTGTCGCTGTCTAACACACACACACACACACACACACACACACACACACACACACACACACACACACACACACACACACACACACACACACACACACACACACACACACACACATTTCCATACAGTGATCTCATTAGCAATATTGGTGCGTGCCGAATCTCCGTAACAATTACTTACCCCCCCCGGTTGTGTAAGCGCTGGTTGTTTGGTGGGTGACATGATCTGGATAACATGGATAGCGAAATGGCACGAAAACAAACACACCCATTCCTCCAGACCCTCACATACACCAGGCCAATGCCACAGCTATATCAGGCTGGTGGGCCAACGGGGGTCCTGGCCGGTCGTTCGTGGAGAATGAGAGGCGTCTGTCTGAGAATGGTGTGAAGGAGCGCATGCATTTTTTAATTCTGATTAGTTTGTGGATTCCGTGTTTGAACTGACTGCTTGCTTGTGCGTGAGTGTGTCATTGTGGCAGCAGGTGGGTGTCCTGCCCAGATATTGGCATTCAGCCAGTAGATCTGGGCCATGGGAGGAGGAAGAGGAGGAGGAGGAGGAGGAATTACAAGCGCTATGATCCAGCGGACTGTTGACTGACAGGAACAGTGGCTGTGCACGCGCACACTGAGTATCAGGCTAGCGAACAACACTCCAGCACAACAAGCTCCAGTACTAAATTAATTTCATATGACCCAGTGGTGGGACAGCATATTGCTCAGTCAAATTGTTCAAACACTTTTTTCTCTCCTCTGGCGCTGTTACACATTAAGGAGGAGTTTCGGCAAAATGTTCAAAGCGTGTTTAGTTTCCTTTCTGAAGCAGAAAATATGTAAATGATGAAAATATACACGTGCGTTTATTCTGGCTTGCATGTTCCTCCCTTGTGCCAGTACATCTCCTTCCTGGACGAGTGCTGAAGGAGAACACCTGCTCCCACACGTGATGGGGACTCTGCAAAGATCAGAGGAAACCCTTTCTACGTTTGCTCTATTGGCATCAGGAAAAGCAAAGTGGTCTTTTGGGGTGGAAAGAGCTCTCAAGAGAGATTGAAATTGAAGAAATGAATGATATAACTTATTTCACTGTGAAGTGTCCCAGCTGGTGGTATAATGTCTGTTTATAGTGCCATTAGTGTAAAAACAGTGATAGTATTCCAAAGCAGTTAAAGAGGCTGTTTAATCGGAGTCATTGTGAACGTCTTATTATCTTATTATCGTTATTTATCGAGGGTAAGATGACAGACCCATGTTGACAGCATGTATCTGATGATTTGTGATTGTATTAGTGCACGCACTGATCAACCATCGTAATCTCACCCATTGGCCAGTAGGGCTGTACCCGAATATTCGTTCGATGGAGTACTATTCGGGTTTCAATTTTGTTATTCGGATATTCTTTTTTTTCTCCTTTTTTCTTTTTTTTTTGGCAGCCGCATTGAATTGATTGAAATCTCCAATATCAACGTAAGAGCTTGTGCCTCTTCGGGGGGTGCTAACACTTAACCATAAACGTTATCGTTTACTTTCTTCGTCTTTATATGTAGATATGACTTTTCTCCGTTAATCTCCGTCACGTTGTTTCCATAGCAACAACAATTTCCTGTCAACAGCGCTAACTCTCCTTCAAAATAAAAGCATGTCCATACAAAATAGGAAGCCAAGCCAAATTACACTTAAGACGTATACAACTGCAACGAAAGTAACACACACAATGCAGTATCCTTTTCAATTTCAAAGAACACAAATTGGGTTGTATACATTAACAAATAACTATAAAACAACAATACTGTAGAATAACAAAATGAATGCCCCTCCCCGCGTGGGCCGAATATCAGAATATTCGCTGCTGATTACTACTGAATATCCGGAGCCCGAAAACTTTTATTCGGGACAGCCCTATTGGCCAGTCATCTATTGATATGTTTTATTCAGAGCAACCATTTTGTTGTTAATAAGCTCACAATGCATTTGATAAATCAAAGTTTTAAATCCCCTGTTATTAGAGAGAAAATTGCTTTGTTTAATAATCTGTTGGCTTAATATTCCTAAAAATATAACTTGAATATTTATTTAGATGTCTGCCCTTCCTATACAAGGAAATTGCCAATTATTTAGATCTCTCACTCTTTCTTGCTTGTTCGCTTACTCACACATACATCCATATTCACCCTACACGCACCAGCACTCTTTTAATTAAAGCTATCTTGTGCACACACACTCAAGTCCCTCATTACATCTCAGCTAGTTCAGCAAGACATGTTAATTTACTTTGATTTACTTTATAAGACTTCGGCTTGGTATGGAAGCATGCCAGAAAGTAGGACATGCATATTAATCAGGCTGCCTTTCTTCATCAAGGGCTTTAATTAAACAGGTTTGTCACCGTTGCTTTTACAACAGCAAAGGAAACATCATAATTATGAATAGAGCAAACGTATCAAACATGAGGTCAACACTTGTGTGTCGTACCGTTTATGTATATTGTTGAATGACAAAGAATTACATTTAGTGATGGACTTTTCATTCTTGTTTTAAAGGTCACCAACATGCTATTCTATGAAGTGTTTTGTTCAAAATTCCAAACAGATCACCCATTCTAGCCATGCCTCATATCCCTCCATTTCACTTCCTGTTTCAAAAGTGCTGATTTGGGGTATAAAGCTTTAAAAAAAAAAAAGATTTGATAAAAAAGAGTAGGGGGCTGAGCTCATGCGGGACCCGGCAGCTACTGTCTAAACTAAATACTGCTGTGATGAAACGCCATATCATTGATTATCAAGGATTATTTCTGAAACAGTA